AATCCTTGTCTCAACTGCAATCACACAGGGCAAGAATTAAGCACAGCAGACACCAATGAACAGCCCCATCTATTTTCCGAGACCCCTCCTTTGTTTCTGCTCAGTACTTCCCTAAATTTGTTTCCTCATCATGGAGACAACCCTGRKTTGTCCCAGCMCTGCCACTCATGCAGACCCCTCYTGCTGGCTCACAGCCTGCTGGGTGGAGCAGTGTGCCCAGCTCAGGAGCACTCAGGAGCTCTGCACAGTGATGGAGATCCCCTCCCAGGACAGGGTTCAGCCAACTCTTCATGGACCTGTTGGCAGCAGAGGGGACTACACAAGCTGACTGCAGGAAGAAACTCCTTTGGGACAAAAGGAGGACTCACTGCCACTCTGCCCTGCCAGCATCTTGGCCCCAGCACCAGTGCTGCCCTCAGGGTCTGAGAAAAGGACAAGAGGAGCAGTCACACAGCCTTTGGCCACCCAGCACCCACCATGCTTCCACYTACCTACACAAACTGGGGGGTTTGTCCATAGCCCATTGAAACAGGTGATTTTTGGAGGTCCTTTCAAGATATAGAAATCTGGGCATTTGTACTCCACAGTATCACCTTGTTGATATTCTTTCTTGTCTAGGCCAAGAAAATCTCCACTTCGAATAGTTGGAGGACTGCCACATCTCCCACCTTCTCCTGAAAGATTTYCCAATCAGAGAGGAAGTTGGAACACAGAGGAGGCCTGGTTAGAAATACTACCCACAATACTACACAAAGAAATGGAKGAAAGCAGAGAGAAAAMCAAATGGSTGWCAGGAGCAAGGATTTCTCATTTCTCCAGTTCAGAGTCACAGYTGCCAGTTCACCCCATGTGAGCATGGCTGAAGTGCTTGCAGCTGTCTGCAGGGCTTCATCTTATCCTGCATAAGGTGTGGCATTTGGCCCCCTGGAGTGAAGCCACCTGGGTCACTCATCTTGATAAAGTCATCCCATGTGAACAGAGACCTGGGACAGTGGCCTTGTCCTGAGTGTGCCAGACCCATTGCAGCTGTGCATGGTGAGGGCACTGAGATGCTCAGTGCCAGTGWGGCAGCTTCATGGTGCTAGCACTGCCAGGAGACTGGATGAAGAGAGACAGAGCGAGAAATGATCTTTGCACATTGGCAGCTCTGKCCAGGTTCCATTCTGGCACATTACAGTGGAAGCTCCAGTCATCTTAAAATTTTGCCAGCACTGATACTTTGCACTCTCCCCAGGGAAATGCCTGGACTTTTTAAAACCATCAATTCTACTACCAGCAATTTCTKGAGGAGGTTTACATGTCACAYCTGAGAAGARCCATCTSAAAAGTTACATTTGCACTTGTTRAGCTGTTCATCTGGCCAGYCAAMAGTGGAAGGAATTAGCCTTGTTACATTTTCTGTGCAGATGTTCTACCTCAGCTGGGTCACAGGAGTTCACCATGGAGAAAGCAATGAGGTGTGGCAGTGGCAGCAGAGCACTGGACTCAGGAGGTGCAGGGTCAATAGGAGTTCCCAGAAAAAGCCAGTGTTTCTGTACTTACACACGAGAACCACAGCAGCCTTGTCTCTCCCCACGGAGCCCTGGCCTTCCTGGAAGCCTCAGGGGTAGCAGCCAAAGTGATGCCCTGCTGAAGGGCAGAGCTCTGGCAGTGCTGGAGGAGCTTGTGAGCCTGCACTGCTCAGGGCTGGGTAAGCAGAGCCAGCTCCACGGAGCTGTGTTCACCCTCAGCCACMGGTCGGGACAGGGCTGGAGCACAGGAATGTCACAGGAATGATCTTTCCATTTCCATGCACCTAAGCAATCTTATACATGGTTTAGGTGTGGGTCTCTGCTGGGGTCTGCACTGGTCRGAGTGCAGCCGTGCAGAAGAAGAGCTGATTCTCTGCCCAACTGCAGCTTCCATTCAGATGCTCCACGACAGCTCTGAACTCATGAGGGAAGGAAGCCCTTACGTGTCTGTCCCTTGGAAGTCACTGAAGTGCTGGACACCGGGGAAATACCAAAAGCRTACAGGAGAAAGAACAGCACCTTCTAGGCCCTGCTGCTTCAGGAATGTTTTTGGTGCTGACGGAAATATTCCCATTATTTCTAAAAGTGTCAAAATAAGGTGCTGTAAAAGGAAGCAATAGCAAGTACAAAATTGGAGTTGCCAAAGGAAACAGAAGTAAAAAAGGCAAGGTCTTGAGAGTACTTAGGTAGAGACCCAGTCGCCTCTACACTGACAGGCAAGGGGAAAGCACAGATTCCTACCTCTGCAAACTGGTGCTTGTGACCATTGACCATTTGAACAAATGATGTCATTTCCACCCATCATCTGAAAATTGCTTTCACACTGATAGCGCACTCTGGCACCGGGCAGGTACCTCTCCTGCAGAGTGCCTGCAATGCGCCCATTGGAGATTTTAGGGGGGGCTCCACAGCTGACATCTGGA